AAATAGTTTTTAAGAATCCTAAAATAGAGACTAGTTTTGATGAAGCACACGCTTAAAATCATGACCGTAAAAAGAGTTAAGCGTGTAAAGTTGAAAAAAAAACAGTATAAAGATAGTGACAAAGACAGACAGACAGAGAAACAGATAGTTAGGTTAGCAGACAGAGAGTGAAAGAATGTATATATGTGTGTGTACATTCTGAAGAGAAAAAGAAAGACAAAAAGATAGAAATAGAAGGAAAGTTCTATAAATTAGAAAACATTCTAATGAACATTTTCGTGGTTTTATATTAATTCTTTTTGTGATCATGCTACTTAAATAAAATTGCATTCCACATTTATGGCAAAATTGATTCCTACTAATCTTATTGTGCAGATTCAAGTTTCTTTTTCTTGTGAACACCAGCAGTTAAAATACTTTGTCTAGTTTAAGAACTAGTTTAAGTTCACAAAGTTCATTCCTTGAATATTTTTAAATCAAAAACATTTTCTATGTTTTGATATTTCTTTATGTCAAACGTCAATCTATTCCATAATCTGATCACAGCCTCAATATATATATTGTAGTATATAATAATCAATATATAATATAATGGCACTGAAAATAAAATTATATATTTTAAATGCCATAATATTTATAATAGTTCAATATAAATACATACTTTTTTACTTTGAAAGATCATATATATAATATAATTCTCAATTCTTCTTATAATTGCACATTAGATAAATAGATTACTTAGATAAATTCCAAATTTATAAAATATAACGTGTGATACTTAATCCTTCGAAAATCGGACTTAAGAAGCCTAATCCAATCTGATAATCTGATAAATCAAGATTCGTTCATTCGAGAAGGCGGAAACACCAAAAGAATCACATGCCGATAATTTTATAACAATTACAATACAATACAATAATTGTATAGTAATAGTAATTGTAGCTACTAGAAGCTTCTTATTCGACGAGATCTTCTTTTTTTTCTAGTTTAGAATGCAAAAATCATTGCAAATAAATTCAACCTTTTTATACCACTCGCGCGCAATACCATGTTAGATATCGGGTAAACACAAAATCGATGCAAACGTGAGCATTCGTGCACACGCACACTCATATACCGTATCAAAACATATAAACTGGATTATAAACTGCTTTCAGATAAATTGCTTTCTTGTGCAGTTAAAAAACTTATTTAAATATTAAATAAGTTAATAATCTGTGCTTAAAATTGCAATATTATTATATTACTATAATATAATATAAATAATATAATATAATATAAATGTATAATATATTCCTGGTTATTTTTTATTAAATTTTTTAATGATTTTAAAGTAAATCATGAATTAAATAATTTTATTTTTATTCTGAATTATTATTTTTTATATAAATTTAAATCTTTCAGATCTCATATATAATATATATATATATATATGCATGATAAGAATTTATATAATATTAAACAAACATTCATAAGTTATATATAATTTATAAAATTTATTCTATAATTAATTCATTCCATAATATCGTCCTATTTTATACTAAAGATTAATTAATTTTTATATCGATTCATATTCATTAATTTCTAATTTCGCAATTTATCTAAACAGAGAATGTTGTGCCAAGAAATATTTATGCCTTCAGTTACATGTCTTCATTTTCATCGCACAGAATTAGAAATTCTTCATGGAAAATCAAACTGCAGAAAAAGCAAATCTACCTGATATCGTAATAATCTAGCCATGATCAACAAATGGCACAGAAGGAGGCAAGGGATCACATGAGATTGAAGAAAGTTAAAAGACATATTTGTTCGAGAGAAACTGTTCTGATGGGACAGAAAGAAAGGTCTAGGACTTTTTTTTGACAATGGTACGTCGTGAAAATTTTTCCTGGAGATTATCTGCAAAAACAGAAAGACAAAGCAGGTTATCGCGATCGCACGCTTGCAAACATGTTGTAAAAAGAAGACTTTTCACAAATTGCCGGAATCCGAAATCTTCAGCCAGAAAATAGAATGCGGCGGGAGAAACAAACACATACAGAAACGCAAGCAGCAGAGTGAGGGGGAGAGGAGAGATTCTGCTCGACCAGGCAGAACTTTTAAAAAGCTGAATAAATACCTCTTGTCGAGATATATTTATAATCCTCGTGCGAGTATACGTACGATACCAAAAGAAGGATGGTCGTGTTTAAAAACAGGTACTATAATCGCCACGAAAAAATAATACTCGCTTTCTTTTTTTTTTTCTTTTTTTTTTTTTTTTTTTTTTTTCTTGTTCTAACAGTTGCATATTATTATATCATGAGAATAAGTATGAAAATGACACAATATGAGGAAAATACACGCAGCACACAATCATATCAGACAACTATAGACTACTGAAAAAAGAGGGCGGGTGGACGGTGGTCTACCTGCATAAGAGGCTCTTCCATCGATTCCACCGACCAGCTCATACCCACTACACAAAAACACAGTAGTGTGACGAAAATCGTTCACTGCATCAGTACTAAGGAATCGTCGCCCTCGTTCCTGCTTAATTGCTTTTTCACTATAAATTTTCTTTTCTTCGGATAATATTAATTAAATATATTAAGGCCCTTTCGCTATAAATAAATTTCAAATATTTCTCAGTTTATTATTATATTCAATATATAGAATTATCTTTTTTTTTTTTCTTCAAGCTTTTCTTCTCTAAGAAAATTAAATTAAATTTCCAAAAATCCTATAAATAATCAATATAATAAAATACATAATATCTCCTTTAATATTCATGTCTTAAATATATTTAAAATTTTCTATTTATCTTCAAATTGCAGCTCTTTATCTTCAAATGAGTTACAATTCAAATTAAATAGTTTCTAATTAATATTTCTCTTTATAAAATTAATTTTTTTTTTTTTTGATGAAATATTACACATTAGCAAAAGGGTAGATATTATTTATCGTTGAGAACAAGGCTCGATAGCGACGTTTCTCTCAGCACACCGTACGTACGTCGACAATCCGTCCTGTGTATGCGTACGTATGGCAAAGTTGACGATATAACGTATTATTAACGGCAGGCGATCTACATGAGCTACGTACTTGTTTGTACTCCGACAGGATAAGTGTGGCGGCGAGCAAGACTGCCGCCCCGTTATACCTCAGTCTCCCGAATGGGTTCCGCTGGCTAACAAACCACAAATCATACCATAAGTTTTAATTTCTATCCTCTCCATAATATCATTGCTTTTTAGGCGTGTTTTTTTTTTTTTTTTTTTTTTTTTTTTT